ACAAGGTAAAGGGTAATATTTACACGAACTACAAATGAACCACCCGACGTCACAAGTGCATAAGCATCAACTAGAAAATATGATAAAATACAACATCTGTCTGGAATACAAATTAGACAGGAGAATATAAATAGCTCTGATAGAGACTCTGCAGACTGCGGATCGTAACATGAAATGCACCTCACGGTAAAGTCCCTGCAATAGCCGCGCCTCTGCGCCCAAAAGACCACCAGACCTATATGTACCTGCACAAAAAGTGCACCAAGTGTAGCATAAGTACGTAAATCAACGCGTACCTAGTAAGTATCTAGCCTAACCCCAAAGAAGTAGTGACGAGGGGTCGACATCAACACTTACTAGTGGTCCAATAAGACAGATACAGTAGAAGTAAACAGGTGTGAGTCAGAGTAAATAAGCGGAATAACAAGTATAATACGTGGCACAGTCCACCTCTCAGCAATAACTCAAACTCTCAGCTAGTAGTTACCTCCTCAATCGGAGTATATATATTTTGGACCTTACCAGATAGGTCGTCACAGTTCAATAAGGAAAAACAGCTCACAGATATGTTAGCTGCTTGCCAATTATTACGCACGATTTCATAAGAGTATTTTATATAAATGCCGAGGCGTACAGCCCGATCCATCATAATGTGCTCACTGTCGAGGGTCGAACAGCACGAACCATAAATGTATCTATCCTGCCGAGGCGAACGGCCCGATCTCATTAGAATATGAAGCTTTGACGGGTCCTTGACCCCACTCACGAATAGATGTGTGAGTTATAAAATTTTAAGGGAAACCTTTCGATGAGAATGCATAACGCAGGATAAATTCGTAAGAGCAGTACAATTATTTCGCAGCTAATCATGAAGCCCGTCGAATCTCTACAATAACAAGTCTATCACTCTACACAAGTCTAGTCTCAAGTTGCAATGTAAAATAAAGGAATTTAATAGGCATGAGATAACTCAAATAATACAGTTATTGCATGGAGGGAACCTAAGTCTATCCGGACATAACATGAATCTAGCTATGCACGGACTCTCGTCACATTGTGCGTACGTAGCCCCTCCAACAAGTAGCACATAACAAATACATCACCTAGGGGTAGTTCCCCCCTCACGGAGTTAGACAGGAGACCTAGCTCACTCCGAAATTCCATAACCAGCTCCAAAGCCTCTCTAACACCTCAAACAAATGCTCGTCGATCCAAAACTAGTCAAACAAGGTGCAAACCAATCAAAATATACTCCAATGCTCATAATAATTTCCAACTCCGCTCGAAGAGTTTATAAAATCAACCCTCGTGCCCATGTGCCCGGATTCCAAAATTTTTTGAAGATAAATATTACCCATAACATTACGAACTCAAATATATAATTTATTCTCAATTCCACGTCCAATTTCGTGGTCAAAATTTAAAAATATCAAATTCTAGGTTTTCTACCAAAACTCCCACAATTTCTACTAATTTTCATGTTTAAATCCTTATACAAACCATGTATTTAACTTGTAATAGGTGGGAATCACTTACGTTGTGTTGCTTGATGAAAATCTCCCCTTGAAACTCTCTAAAATCGCCCCAACTAAGTGGAAAATAAATGGAAATGGGCCAAATCCCGCTTTTAAAAGAACCCCTCCGCCCAGACCTCTCGCATCTGCGGAACAATACTCGCTTCTGCGGCAACTCCCTCGCAGATGTGGCTTTCCCCGAGGTGCCAGCTTTTCGCTTCTGTGGGACCTCAATCGCAGATGCGCATCCACTTCTGCGGAAGTCACCCGCATCTGCGGTCTCCCTAGCTCGAACAGCCTTCCGCACCTACGCGTCCAACACCCGCACCTGTGATCTTCCAACCCCAGACCACCTTCGCTTCTGCGCTCCTTCTCGTGCATCTGCGCGCCCGCAGGTGCGGTAAACTCCTCGCACCTGCGACTCCAACCAACCTTAAGCCCAATCACTTCTGCGACACCAGGACCGCTTTTGCAGTCTCGCACCTGCGGCCCTTTCCACGCAGGTACAATTACATCAGATCCCAACTGCCTCAGCACTTCTTCCAAGTCCAAACTCGATCTGATTCGCATCTGAGGCCCCCGGGACCCCGTCCAAACATACCAACACATCCCGCCACACGATACAGACTTAGTTGAAAACCTCGAATCACGTCAAACAACATCAAAATCATGAATCGCACCTTGAATCGAACTTATAAATTTTTCAAAATTTTAAATTCTATATCTTATGCCGAAGCGCATCAAATCAATCCGGAATGACTTCAAATTTCGCACACGAGTCACAAATGATATAACAAAGCTATTCCAAGGCTCGGAACCCCCAACGGACATCGATAACATCAAAATCCACTTCAAACCAAACTTATGAAATTCTTAAACCTTTAAAAAGGCCAACCTTTTTAAAGAAATGAAGATATTCGAGAGAAGGTGGGTGTGGCCCCCATGGAGGACAAGATGCGGGAAGCAAGACTCAGATGGTTCGGGCACATTCAGAGGAGGAACACTGATGCACCGGTGAGAAGGTGTGAACGACTGGCAGTGGTGGGTACGAGGAGAGGTAGGGGGAGACCTAAGAAGTATTGGGGAGAGGTGATCAGGCAGGATATGACGCGACTTAGGGTTACTGAGGACACGGCCCTAAACAGGGAATTGTGGAGATCGAGCATTAAGGTGGTAGGTTAGGGAAATTGTGATGTCTTTGTTACAGCGCACTAGAGTGAGACTAGCCAGTTAGGAAGTAGTCTTAGGATGCTATTGATCAACTACTGATGATGGGCTTTATCTCCTGTGTATTAATACCTTACATCTTTCTCGTATTTCCTATATCTCTTATATTGTTGTTACTTTGTTTTTATGGTATTTATGTTATGTTATGGATTTTATGGTACTTTATGTTGTTTTATTATGAGTCTATTGATAGTACTAATATAGTGTCTCTTGTTGCCTCTTTGAGCCGAGGGTCTCCTGGAAACAGCCTCTCTGCCCCTCGGGGTAGAGGTAAGGTCTGCGTACATATTACCCTCCCCAGACCCCACTTGTGGGATTACACTGGGTTGTTGTTGTTGTTGTTGTTGTTTAAAAAGGCCAACCTTCCATAATAAGCGCCGAGATACTCTCAGGTGATCCGATACTCAACCCGAACATACATCCAAGACCGAAATCATCATACGAGTCTATTGGAACCTTCAAATTCCGATTTAAGGTCGTTTACTCAAAAGTCAAATCTTAGTCAATTCTTCCAACTTAAAGCTTCCGAAATTAGAATTGTTTTTCCAAATCAATCCTGAATTTTCCGAAATTCAATTCCGACCACACGTACAAGTCATAATACCTTAAGTGAAGCTAATCAAGACCTCAAACCATCGAACGACGCGCTAGAAAGCTCAAAACGATTGGTCGGATCGTTACATTTGATTAAAGTAATATAACACAAATTCCTAGAAAAAGATTTGATTGATTAAAAAAATAATTGCAGGAAATATTCTCTTGAAATGGTATCAGAATTTTGGATGCTGTCAAACTGATTATTTTGAAAGCATAGGTAGAAGCAAACGAGAATATTTTGTACGTAACAATAACATACGTCCTTACCACAACAAAAAAAAACAATAATATACGTCTGCGTTTCATAAGTGCTAATACTTATTTAAATGTTTTCCCATTCTAAATGAATTATTTAAAAAAAAGAAGTCTTTATCATTTAGTGTAAAATAAGGACATGATTTGTTTTCAATTGTAACTTTAGGCGATTGTTTGATCTAATTGACAATTACAATAACCTACATTGAAATGACTATGGGGATTCCAATGCATAATATATCATTGTGTTCTTAGCCAGCTGCAACGTTAGAAGTTATGATTTGAGCTGTAAATTTGTACTGTGTTTTCTTTGTTTGTGCAACAATGCATATGCATTTTGTATCATATGATTTTTCAGTACTTGTTAATGACATATTTACTTTAGTTGTATCATCGCCAGATAAATCCAAATCCTATTTCACATCTTTAATTAAATGTGGATAACCACGACTTAAATCTACAAATAATACATTACACATATATACATTGAGAGATTATATATGTTATTTATTTTGTATAATAGTTATGCTTCTCAATTCTCTTGGGATATAAACTTGGAACGGCATATAATTGGATCAGTAGAAAAGCTGCGAATAAAGGCCAATTTTAGTTATTAGTTTAAAGAAAGAAAAATTAAAATACATGTCTAATAATATAGGTGTTGCTTAGAAAATGAAATGAGAAGAAACCCTCCCCATGTCAATAACCAATTAATGATAATTAAGTAACCACCTATCATTGAATGAGTAATTACAGATAACTACTCCCTCTTTCCTGTTTTATATTAAAAGTCTTTAGTCTTTTTTTTTTGGGTCAACAAAAAACCTTTAATCGGTTGCATCAACGAAATTATGACGTGTTATAATAACACCAGTAATAAAAACATTTATCCTCGTGATTATTGTGCACTTGTTTACTCATGTCACTGATTACAAGAATAACACCTCAATCAACAGGTTGTTCTGCTGGACTTGGTACAAGATTCTACAAACTATTGTTTTTTTAATAATCATAGTGTCAGATAAATTTACGAATATTTATTAACTCTTGAATTTTTTTTCCGAGCATAGATAGTTGACATATTTTTCTTCTTTTTTATTTTGTTTTAATTATGAGTTCATTATAAAACTCATAATAAACTCTAAATTTTATTATTCTAACTCTATCTCTAAACGAAAGTGGATAAAATCGGGAATTGCCATGGAGATCGCCGCTCGTAAAATGTCTATATTATCTATTAAATTTTAAATTTAAATATGACAGAAGCAATCCTATCTGGAATAGGAATTATATTAAAGTTTATTTAAAATTAGGAACATTTTTTATTCTTTTTCTACTTATATTATTATTATTATGAATCTTAAAAAACATCATTGTTTTTTCCCATGTAGGGTGGGATTCGGAAAAGGGGGTGGTGGGCAATTACCCTGCATGTGTGTCTATATATATAACCATCTGCACAAAGAGTGTTGAACAGAAGAAAAAGAAGAAGAATAACCCAACAAAACGGCTATAATTTAGCATTTTCCCGAAGTAGTCAAATTATACAAGGAAAAATTTACTCCCCCCTCTCAATTTGATTATATTGGCAATTCCATTGTTGTAAATTTGAGAGGGAGGGGTATTGGCTTTAATCAGGGGGTTTTTCTCTTCAATAATCTCTCTTTGATAATTTTTGTTATCTTTCTGAATTTTATAGAAAGGTGGCAAATTTGTAGAAAGAGGAGATTTTTGAATATAGCTTTGGGTGCTGATGGTGTCTGATAGTTATTATCCTTCAAAAAAAAGTGACGATATTTGTGAAGACGTTTGTGGCGAGGTACCTGTCTTCTCTTTTTTCACCTCTTTCCCTATTGATTTATTTTTAATTCTCATTTACCATTTCATATGAAAAGTTTGAAGCTTGTTGCACATTAGCTCTGGATTTTTTGGGGATTTGTTTTTTTAAAATTGGATTGTTGTGATTCTGGAGAATTTTAAAATATGTGCTTTCATTCTGTTATTGACATGGATTGTATATAAACCCTAGAATCTTGAATTGGGCTAATATGGGTTGCTCCCAAGGAGAAGTTTTTGGGGGAAAATGTGATCTTGAACAACTTTGGGTGATTTTTCTCATCCTTTCCTAAATTTCTGGAAATTTGTGGTGTATTGTAGTTTTGTGGACTCCATGTTTTATGGTTGGAGATTTGACTATGGTTATCCATTTGATAATATCTAAAGTAATGGAAGCTTTAATTTTATTATGGTTTTCAGAAGTGGCTAAAAATAGATGAAACAATAAGTAATTTTTTACTCTGTCAAGATATTTGGGAAATCCTCTGTTATCCTGTTGGCTTGTTCTATTTTCTGTAAAATGGTATTAAGTTTACATTCTTTTATTTTCGTGCTCTCAAACTGTAATTAGTTTGTCTGGATTTTTCTCCATCTGTTTATGTTTAAAGTTATCTTTTTTCAAATGCAGCAGTCTTCCCCTGGAATAATAAACATGTCAAGACTACGGTGTATGCTTCGAGGATTGGATTTAAAAGCTATTATCTTTTTGGTTGTTTTTGTGCCAACATGCATTGCTGGTATATACTTTCATGGACAGAAGATTACCTACTTCCTTCGCCCGTTATGGCAATCCCCTCCGAAACCCTTTATTGAAGTTACTCACTATTATCACGAGAATGTCTCGATGGAGAACCTTTGCAAGCAACACGGATGGGGAACTCGTGAATATCCTAGGCGCGTTTATGATGCAGTTTTGTTTAATAATGAAGTGGACATGCTTACTATCAGATGGAAGGAATTGTATCCTTACATCACACAGTTTGTTCTTCTCGAGTCCAACTCCACGTTTACTGGTTTGCCCAAGCCCTATACTTTTGCTATTAACCGGGACCAATTTAAGTTTGTGGAACCTCGATTGACTTATGGAACCATTGGAGGAAGATTCAGAAAAGGTGAAAATCCGTTTGTTGAAGAGGCATATGAGAGAGTAGCACTCGACCAGCTTTTGAGAATAGCTGGCATAGAGGACGATGATTTGCTGATAATGTCCGATGTTGATGAAATTCCTAGCAGGCATACTATCGATCTTTTGAGGTGGTGTGACGATATTCCTCCAGTTCTTCATCTTCATTTGAGGAATTACTTGTACTCTTTTGAATTTCAAATTCAGCACAGAAGTTGGAGAGCTTCAGTCCACAGGTATCAGAAAGGCAAGACTAGATACGTACACTATCGTCAAACTGATTACCTTTTGGCAGATTCATGTTGGCATTGTAGCTTTTGTTTCCGCCACATATCTGACTTCATATTCAAGATGAAAGCTTACAGCCACACCGATAGAATCAGGTTTTTGCATTATTTGAACCCTAAAAGAATACAAGATATTATTTGTCAAGGGGCAGATTTGTACGACATGCTTCCTGAGGAGTACACATTCAAGGATATCATTGGTAACATGGGACCCGTCCCTCATTCTTACTCGGCCGTGAATCTTCCTGCTCATCTGCTGGAGAATCCCGAGAAGTACAAGTATCTCTTGCCTGGGAACTGCAAAAGAGAAAGTGGCTAAGTTTTTACCACGGAGTTGAGTGCATTTTCTTAACATAGGAGGTGCTTCATGTGCAGGTTTTATGTTGCAACATGAGGGACTCTTATCAGGTAATTAATGATGGTCGTGCTCGGGATATATAGTGGCATTTTCTGTTTGTCTTGGGTTCATTTGAGTACATTCATTTGCCAAGTAAACATTTAATTTAGGGGTGATGATGTGAAGGCTGGGGGGAAACTCGAATGTTTCCTGTCTGTATTGCGCAACCCTTTGGATGAGATCCTACTCTTTGGATGACATAAACTCGGGCTTTTTGATTGTAGAATTGGTTTTCTTATTCTTTTTCTCCTGTTAGAAACTAATTTATTCCAATATATAAATTTTGTTTTCCAAGGCTTTCCTCATTGCACCTTTACCCCCTGATATCACATTTCCTCCATGTATATGACTATGTGAGTTGATTGGATTCACCAGCAGTTTCTTGTCTATTGTGTTGTCTAATCTTGTTGCATAGAATTGAGCTCTTTTAGAAGCCAGAAATGGTGGGGTTTTTAGATTTTACTATGTTGGATTGACAATCTACTGGGAAAATGAATATCAGTGCAAGTTGCTAGTTGGTTATATAACTCACAACTGTTGCATTTCCCTTCAGTCACTATGGCAACTATTTAAGGTGTTTTTGCAATACTATACCAAGTGCTCACTTTTATGATCTACTTCCAAATACAGAGAACCAGTAGCCCAGAGAGTGTTACTACTATTAAATTTATTGATTGATTTTGAGTGATTAATGATCACAAGTTTGGAATTTAATAGAATATATTGGGTTTGAAACCAAGCTATTAAGGGGAATAGAAGTTTCTTTTTCATTGTTAAGCATGATGTTATTTACTTCATATAAGCTTTTCAAAGTAAAGTTGATCTCTAAGTTCTAGGAAAAGAGGGGTTGTAGCGTTGTAGGTTGATAGTGAGTATCAAAAGCGGATTCATAATTTAAACTTGATGAATTCTAACCTTTATGTTTTCACTCCCGAACCTATTACACTTTTCCGATTGTTCAGAACTTACTATATATTAAAAAATTGTGATTTTTTCAGATATATATAAAAAAAAAAATTGAACTTGTTGAGACTATGTTGCATCAACTCCTGGTATGTAAAAAAATAGTCGTTATGATTAATCTTCTTAATACTTAATAAAGTAGATGGACACATAGGATTCATAGCTAAAATGATTAATTTGTGATTGAAACATAGTTGATTGATTCTTAAGCATGATATTATACTATAGTTGTTTGGTAATTAAATGGGTGGTTTTCCAGACGAAACCTCTGGAATTAGAGATTTTTTAAGTTTCATAGGCTCTTTCCCNCCCCTTCAATTTCCATAATTAAGACATTTCAATCAAACATCTGCTTGCTTGTTCAAATTTAAGATTCCAAAGGCACGTGTTTCCAGCATATTCGTTTCCAATAAGCATAATTTTCCAGCATAAACTTGAAAGCATAAATTCCCAGTAACTCCTAAAATTTGATAATAAGTGAAAATCATTGTTCCTGACTTGTTTCACTTATCAGAGCTTTTATATCAGCCAACATAATTCCCGATATCTTTAAAAATCTCTGCATAAAAAACGGTAAAAATGAAGCACTTAAGTTTGCAAACGGAAGGATACATAAGCAAATCTGCAAGTAACAAGATGTCATTCATATCATCAGACACAATAAAAAAGGCATTAGAATCCACAGTTACAGCAAAAAATCTGGAATACAAACCAGAAACTTTCCCAAAGCATTTGGGGATTGGAACATGCTAAACAGAACACAAAAGAACATGAGAAAGTCTAAAAAAGAAAGATAAACACATTAAATCAAAATCAGAGCCATATCAAAGTTCCAGTTCCCGAATACTGAAATACAGATCCTTGATAGATCGTAGCAGGTTCTTGCTATAATTCCTTCGATTCGTACATCTTCCAGCATTATAGGATACAACAACAAATAAATTCTTTTTTTTTTCTTTTCTCAAGATTCCTCCTCTTCTATTGTACTGTAGGACCGGTGGAAAGATGAGCATTTCATAAAACAGAAGCTACTCGAGAACACAATCTTGTTGAAATAGATTCTGGATCTCAGAATGCACAAAGCATTATCTCATTGCTGTTAACAGCAAAGTACTTATCATTTCTATTGCCGGTCCAACCAGCTAAAGATACTCTCTTGAGAACCGAACGGCAAATCCTGCATAGAACACAACATCATAGTCAACTATAGATAGTATTATTATACATAATAAAACAATGACCATTAGCACCTGCAAACATGAAACTTACTGCAAGTTGGAAATCTGGAGGAGTATCCAATTCCAAATTATCCAGCTCAGAAATTCCACAGGTTGTGTTAGCATTTCCTTGTGGTAAATGGCAAGTGTTATGAGCGTAGTCAGTAGAAGAGCCAATATTGTGTTCAAAACTATCAAGATAAGAAGCAAGAAGTTCATCACACAACAGAGAATTATCAACATTATTTGCATCAGCTCCTTGTGATTCTCCAGCCAGACATGTGTGGTACTCCATTTCACTCTTAACTTTAGCATCAGAAGACTGCCCTGGTTCTTTGGCAACTTCCACTTCCTAAACAGCAAAATTAATATCAGTGTACGGAAAATCTAGCAAAATGCACATAGGTAGATACAGTTAGTTGGAAGTATGTTCGTGAGTCGAATACTTGCAATTTTGTAAACTGAAATAAAGTACAAACAACCTATAAAGGTTTTATATTTTGCATTTTCGGCCCATCGGCCGAAATTAATTATGGGTGCTAGCCAAATATACAAAACATATACACTGATTATGTATATTTATATATAATGTATGCATATTTATACCTAATATTAATACAAAACACATACATTTTTCGACTATTATTTTTTAGGGCGGGCCAAAAATGTAAATATCCCATGATATAAAATTATAAGGAAGATGCAAACCTGATCAGGTGAGAAGGGTAAAGAGTCATCCACAAAATTATCACAGGAAAGGGTTACTCCAGCTCGAGGGGGATTAGGAGTAACCGTCTTTGGAGTTGTAGGGCCAGCCTGATTTGCTCCCCCACTGGTTTCTTCATTGACATGAGAGTCATTGGCCTTGACGGATTGCTTCTGCTGTTGGTAAAAGATTTTTGAAACAACGTATTCACCTTCTTTTTCGTCTTCGTCAGTGCCCAGATGGTACTGATGCATTACCCAATGAGTCTTTTCCTGCTTCAACCCTTTCTTAGTAGTTTGATAGAGAACCATTACCTTCTTACACCCCTTTTGGAGTCCATTCTCCATCACAACCTTGGTCTTTCCCGTCTTGTGCCAGCGAACATGTTCTTTCCTCAAATTATTTTCATCACTAATCTTTCTACGCTTACGTTTACCAGTTGCATACGCATTGGTAATGCGATAAAAGAAGTGAATGCTACTTCCGTCCTTTTTGGCACCTGAAACAAAATAAATGTTATTGCTAGCACTAAATTCTCTTGGAATCACGATCCAAAATGGAAACCAATAAACTATTAGAGATTGAGGAATGGAAAATTTGCCATAACAGATTGATAATGTTAGGTTTCAACTGGAAAAATGGAAAGCTGACAAGCAACTTCTTAAGCTTCAGAATGAGCAACTTGCATTTCTTGTATCTACTACACCTTTGTTAAAACAATTAACTTTTGCTGCATTTTCATTTCTAAGGTAAATGCAACCCTGAAAACCACGAGTAAGAGAGACTTTCTTGAAGATAGCCTTCCCACTGTAAAAACAAACAGCTATGTGCACTTGTGCACTAACAGTAGCCAGTGGCGGAGCCACATAGTTGTTAATCCCCTTGACTTCTTCGTATATTTACTTTTTAAAATTTTGACACCGTCCGCTTCTGACAGCAGCCATACACAGATCATGGTAAAAATGACATATCCTATGACGAGTGCATCTAAAGATGGAGGATTTAGAGTAGCATACTTTTTACTCTTTTAGACCCAAATATATGTATCAATGCCATCTATTTATTTCCCCAGCATAGTCTATTGACTTCAATAATGCAGCTAAAAGCAAACAGAAGATAGTGCATCAAAGAATTAGGGGCTTTACAAACCAGGAAGATTTTCAGGATGGGTATAGCAAATCCCTTCGTAAATGTCAAGAGTCGGGATGAACTCATCAATGAATTTGTGTTGCTTGGAATTTCCCACCCCGCACTTTTCTTCCAAATACTCCAAGAGCTCTACATCAGATGGATCAAATTTCACACCAACAGGTAGACCAGGCCATTCCTGAGAAACCTGAATCCGGAAAGCAGCAAAATAATAAAGCAGAATTGAGCAACTAACTTATGATACATGTATTTGCTGGCCTAATCTTGAACCAAAGGAAAAAAGAAGAAACTTTACTGCAGGGATACTTATTAGCTTACATCATTGTTATCAATACAGTAATGGCAGTTTGGGCATTGCCGCTTTGCGCCACAATCTTTTATTTGATGTGCAGTAGGAGCACTGGCATTTTTAATTTTTCTTGCTAGTCCTCTGCCATCAATAAGCCAAGATCTGCATCAATGAAAAAAACAGATGAGACCGTTTGATCTACATATGGTGACAAAATTCACAAGAAAAGATTCAGCACCTCATATAACAAAATCAAAAACTTTCTTTGCAGCCTAAAAAAAGATAAACAATTGACTGTAACCGCACTTAGCACTGTTGAAACATTTAATCATTCATCTGCTTCACTATCAGTTTCGACTTTAGGCCAATGTTTCCAAATCTTTCTATGAGACTAATTATGAAACAAGTAAATAGTTCATTTCGACATAAAGTTTTGATTATTAACATTCGCTTTAGCATTGCGCCCAATGCATACGTCAAGCAACAATATACACAAAAAAAGACACCCTTGGAATCTGGAGACCAACAAAAAATTGGGGCAATTGCAAAAATTGATGAAAATGTCATCTAAGGTGAATGACAATGGGTTTTTTCCCTCTTACCCACACACAAGCCACTACAGAGCCCGCTAATACCCAAAACGAAAAAATAAATCAAACCCATGAAAACCCACATCCTTAATCATCTACAGTACTATTCAGCATTATCTCAGGAACAAACACAAATCTTAGAACAGAAGCTACAATGATCATTCAAAAGTTAGAAGCCCCAAAAGCTTATAAAGATTCGATTTTTAGACCATCTTCGATCATACTCAATAAAACCCGGAACAAAACTTTGCCTAACAAACAAAAATTCATCCTCACCTTCCCATTAAGGATTTTGAAGGAGGGAAAATATAAGATTTTTCAAGAAATATCCCTTAATCTGAGTTTCAATGTTAATCTTCTGAGTGTGATGTAGATTGCTAAATCGCATTCGACGACTGAGAATATAGAACAAGAGAGAAGCTCTGGTTTCTCTATATGTATCCAATACTTTCCCCTTTTCTCCACTGGATTAA